GTGCAGTAGCGAGATCTTGGCTCACTACAACCTCCACCTCCTGGATTCAAGTGATTCTCCTGCCTCAGCCTCCTGAGTAGCTGGGATTACAGGCACATGGCACCATGCCCAGCTAATTTTGTATGTTTAGTAGAGACAGGGTTTCACCATGTTGGTCAGGCTGGTCTCGAACTCCTGACCTCATGATCCACCCACCTTGGCCTCCCAAAGTGCTAGGATTACAGATGTGAGCCACCGCATCCAGCCAAATGTTACCTGTAATTATCAGGATAAAGTCCTTTTGACCTTAGAGATCTCCGAGCTTAATGGAAATGAGGATTGCACGAGAAGGTATCAGGAGCTCAGGAGAGGAAGCAAGAGGGAGAGAGAGAGAGAGAGAGCTGAGCTTTCCAGTGTTGAATTTGCTGATTAAAGCAAGCTGTACATCAAAATGTTAAGACTTACTAACCGTGATAGTATAAGCAAGGGGCTAAAACTAGGGGGAGTGCTGGCATCTCCTGTTCCAGCTCTCGTGGAAAGCAGTACACCAGTTGAAGGTCGGGTGGATCAGCATAGACGTAGGTATCACTGTTGAGAAAGCCCCCAACAAAAGGCTATGGCAGCTTTATGGACTTTGGAGTTGAGGAAGGGCAAGGGGAAAGGTCGAGAAGTGAAGCTCTGAGTACTGACTTCGAGCAGAGAACAGCATCTTTAAGATTTTCTACCTTCCCCCATTAAGGACACCTAGACAGAAGTCCTCGGAAGAGGTCACCTGAAGAGAACCTCTGCCTGAAGCCTCAGAGAAAGAGAAGTAGGAATGTGGGCACTGAATGGGCTAGGAATGGCCCACAGAGGGGCCTGAGACCTTGACTGTGCATGATAACCCTGTGAAACTGGTTTATTGCTTACACCTAGGCAGCAAGGGACAACAGATGCTGAGGACTCACTGTGACCCACGGCTCAGAAAGCTGCCCGGGGTGCATGGAGTCTCCACTGCACGTGTCCCTGAAAGGCAGCCCACCCGGGTTGTATACCTGGGGGTCACATGACACACTGGACTTGTGTTGAAGGCCATCCTTTGCAAGGGGGGGGGGCTGGATCAGAGCCCAGCTGCTCCAGCCAACTTTCCTCTTATCTCAGGATTTTGCATTTCCAGCACATTCTGTAGTTATTCTTGACAACTACAAGCAAGAAAGGAGGAGAACTGGGGCGATTCAAGGCCACTTGGAGAACTGTTGTGCAATTGCTTGGATTGAGCATAAAAAATCACATGTGGGTTTTTAATCAGGAGCCAGACTCCTCAGAAGGCAGACAATAAAGGAATGTCAGATCAGCAATGTTTTCTACAAGCCAAGACCAGGCCAGTGAACATAAGGTTAGGAACAGAAGCACGGAAACTGGAATGAGTTAGCCTGTGCTCTGAACTTAGGAGTTCTAATCAACTCTGCAGGCGAGGACACTGGAATAGTTCAAGACTGAACGGGTCTCCCTGGTCTCTTCTCTTTTGGGGTCCCAATTGTTGTCATAGAGAGAAAAGAAAAACTGAAGGAAGGGCCGGTTGCTGTGGCTCACGCCTGTAATCCCTGCACTTTGGGAGGCCGAGGTGGGTGGATCACCTGGGGTCGGGAGTTGGAGACCGGCCTGACCAACATGGTAAAACCCTGTCTCTACTAAAAATACAAAATTAGCTGGGTATGGTGGCACATGCCTGTAATCTCAGCTACTTGGGAGGCTGAGGCAGGAGAATCATTTGAACCCAGGAGGTGGAGGTTGCAGTGAGCCGAGATTGCACCATTGCACTCCAGCGTGGGCAACAAGAGCAAAACTCTGTCTCAAAAAAAAAAAAAAGAAAAGAAAAGAATGAAAAGAAAGAAAAACTGAAACAAGGCAATGTATTTTCATTCTGATAAGACCTGTCCACCCGCCACCCTCCCACCCCCACCCCACCAGCCCCAGCTATCTGCAAGACCACTGGCTATGAAACTCACAAGTTCCCTTTAGTGTGAAAAGGACTCTAGGACTTACACTGTTTAGTGGGAGCAGAAGACAGCCCTGGGGAATGGAAGAACTTTCTCCGTCACAAAAGAGTTGGCAAATAAGTTTTCATTTCAAGTAATTTTCTCTCCTTTGTCCTTTAACCCCAGGAGATTAGAGAGATGGTTACTGACAGTTCTTGTAATTTGCATTTCAAAGTAATGTATGCAAAAATCACACATCTCACACACATTAGCATATTAAAACAAATTAGCTTTGGGTCGGTTACCATTTATATCACTCTAACTCCAAGTCCCCACATTCATTTAGGAAAAAAAGAAGGGAGGCAAAGAAGAGACAAAAGTGCAGCAGGGACCTGTAGAGCTACAGGTGTGTGTGTGTGTGTGTGTGTGTGTGCGTGCGTGCGTGCGTGCGTGAAAGAGAAAGAGAGCAAGAGAGAGAGAGAGAGAGTGTGTATTGGGTACAGAGAGATACATGAAGGGGATCTGGCCTGAAGGAAAACTGTCCCTTATGAATGGAAATTGGGCAATTGATTCATTGAAATGCTTTTTCTCTCTCACCTCCTGCTCCACCCTATTGTCCCTAGAGGAAGGAAGGCGAAAAAGAAAGTAGAAAAGGCAGCCTAATTATACTCCCATTTGGCTGGTAAAGCAGGGAGCACCCAAGGAAGGTGGAAGAGCTCAAGCTTAAGCTCCTGGGGCATCTTCTTCATCTCTGCGCACCCAGGCCCAGCTTGTGGAATTCCGACACTCCAGATTAAATGGTTGCTGTGAGATGAATGTGGGAAGATGTCTTGTCCTTCAGGAGAGGACACCTTCTTAGGAGATATCTCTTCTCTACCACCACTGCCATTGACCAGAAATCCTCTGGTCTCTTTCGTGGGTGTGTTTTTTTTTTAGACCGAGTCTCACTCTGTCACCCAGGTTGGAGTGCAGTGGTACAGTCTCAGCTCACTGCAACCTCCACACCTCCTGGGTTCAAGTGATTCTCCTGCTTCAGCCTCCCGAGTAGCTGGGATTATAGGCACACGCCACCACGCCCGGCTAATTTTTGTATTTTTAGTAGAGATGGGGTTTCACTACATTGTTCAGGCTGGTCTAGCTCTCCTGACCTCAGGCGATCCGTCTGCCTTACACTCCCAAAGTGCAGGCGTGAGCCACGGCGCCCAGCCTTGTGAGTGTATTTAGATAATGTGGTTATCCATGAGAGGGGTCTCAAAGAAAATAGAAACTGCCGGTGAGGGGAAGTTAAAGTATAATTTTTGAAAAGTTAAAAGATGATTCTCTTGTAAATATATAGTGAGCATTTATTTAACTCGTTAATGAGGAAATGGGCAGAATGGTAAAGCCATTTCTTTCTTTTTTTTTTTTTAAAGACGGGGCTCCACCATGTTGGTCAGGCTGGTCTTGAACTCCCGACCTCAGGTGATCCACCTGCCTTGGCCTCCAAAGTGCTTGGATTACAGGCTTGAGCCACCACGCCCGGCCCAAAGCCATTTCAAAGAAGGATATATGATAGTGTATATATGGCCAGAGAAAGAAAATTTGCTAAGTTAACAATAAAACTTGGTTAATATCCTATGAGGCAATGAAACTGTAACCTTTGGATCTATGTTTTCTATGGAGCAGAGGTGCCATCATTTGCACTTCTACTGGACAAAAAATTACTTACAACTTTTCTTCTTCAGATGAATTGCAGGTGAAGGGAGGTTGCCTAGGTGGGTCCACTCAGCTCTGGGGAAGGAAGAAAGCCTGTCCTTTCCAGGCTGTGGGCTGCAGTACGCATGGCAAGAGCAAAAGGACAGAGTGAGAAGGTGCAAAGCAGCGGGGAACCTTAATATCCAGGGCGCAAATATTAAAGAAACAGGCATTTAATTAGAGAGAACCTAGAATGAGTGACTCAAACATGAAACTTAGAATAAGACCTGTATGCAAAACACAGTGTCTGCACAATCTCTTGCTTAACTTCTCAGACATGGCTTCCTCTTCTGTAAAATGAGTTATGTGAAGACTGAATTAGTTACTGTAATGAATGTAAAGAGGCTGGCTCAGATTATGAAGTGAAAAATAGTAGTTGCTAATATTATTATAATTGTTTAATATCTATATAGTTGACAGTGTAGATCCCTGAATTGGGAAAATATACATTAAGAAAGTAGGCTGGGCGTGGTGGCTCATGCCTGTAATCCCAGCACTTTGGGAGGCTGAGGCAGGTGGATCACCTGAGGTCGGGAGTTGGAGACCAGCCTGGCCAACGTGGTGAAACCCCATCTCTACTAAAAACACAAAAATTCGCTGGACATGGTGGTGGGTGCCTGTAATAGCAGCTACTTGGGAGGCTGAGGCAGGAGAATCACTGAAACCTGGGAGGCAGATGTTGCAGTGAGCCAAGATCATCCCACTGCACTGCAGGGTGACAGTGAGAAAGAAAGAGAGGAAGAGAAGCAAGGAAGGAAGGAAGAAAGAAAGAAAAAGAAAGAAAGAGAAAAAAGGGGAGGGGGAAGGGGGGAGGGGGGAGTGGGAGGGGAGGAGAGGGGAGGGGAGGGGGGGAGGGGAGGGGGAAGGGGAGAGGAGGAGGGAAGGGAAGGGGAAGGGAGGGGAGGGGAGGGGAGAGGAGGAGAGGGGAGGGGAGAGGAGGGGAGGGGAGAAGGAAGGGGAAGGGGAAGAGAGGCAGATGAAATTAGACTGATAGTTCTTGTGAGTCAACTCTGTGAAGTTCCAAATGTTAGCCACAGAATGTTAGCCTAAAACTCATTCCTCCAACCTTCAGACAATTTTATAAGCACCTAGTTCTCTGTATTACATTTTTTGCAGCTTAAAATAGCCAGAGTGGCTGGTTTCCTGCACAGACCCTGACTGACAAATGAGTTTGAGAGCTCAGGCCAAAGGGAACAGTGTCAGACTCAAAGTGATGAATACATCATCCAGCAAGAGAGACTAGAGCTGCTCATTGCTGTTTCTCTCTCATATCAACCAAGTCCTTCCCTCATCAATTAAACCCATTTACTCTTTTACTCTCCTCTGTAGAAAACTAGAAGAGCAAGGCATTGGGGAATTCATATCTGCTAGAGAAATATGCATTTCAGCCTGGGCTGATTGGAGCCTGGAATATGATGGTGAGACTCCTACTCACAAATTGGATGGTGATGGAAAGGCCATCCTGATGAGCCAAAAATTTTGTCAGAAGACAGAGTGATGTTGGACAACACCACTGAGCCACAACTTCCATCCACGCAAGACTTAATATATTTCCTGGGACAAAAGTACCTAGGAAACCAAAAGCCTTTCAGCTTGCCCCTTGAAGCGAATTTCCCTTTGGCTGACACTGTACAGCAAAGTGTATTAATACCCATGATGGGTGATCAGCCTTCAATAAATAATGCTGGTTGTTCTAATGTACCTGGCATGAAATATTCAGAGCTATTAATGCATTTCAGTTTAAATAATCACCAGGGCTTTTGTCCAAATCAGTGGTGAGCTTAGGTTGTATTATCTTTTCTTGCACATATCAGATGTGGGGTGCAGGCTGAAAGTTCCAGGAAGAAGCATTAGGCCACTGACCCTGTGGAGCAGGTGGGGAGCTACGTGGTGCAGGCATATGTGACGGGGGGAGTGGTCAGACCCCTAGCTTGGGGTCCAGGATTCCTGGGTCCTGTCCCAAACTCAAGTATAGCCAGTGCCAAGAAACTCAAGGCTCATCTGGTGGTCTTGGGAGACAGACCAGGGCATTAGAGGATATCTCCCCCAGTCCTTGATTGTAAGGATTTCAAATGCTTCCAGTCTTTTGAGCCTGCATAAGAGACCATGGGGGCCAGGCGCAGTGGTTCACACCGGTAATTCCAACACTTTGGGAGGCCGAGGTGGCAGATCACGAGGTCAGGAGTTCAAGACCATACTGATTAACACAGTGAAACCCCGTTTCTAGTAAAAATACAAAAATTAACCAGGTGTGGAGGTACATGTCTGTAATCTCAGCTACTCAGGAGGCTGAGGCAGGAGAATCACTTGAACCCGGGAGGCGGAGGTTGCAGTGAGCTGAGATCACCCACTGCACTGGGCAACAAAGCAAGACTCCGCCTCGAAAAAAAAAAGAGAAAGACCACGGGAGAGTGATCATACAGATTGGGAGTAGGACTCACATTACCAAGCAGCAAGGCCTCTGAGGGAGACTCTGAGCAGCTGGAGATATAAGAAGGCTGAGCTCAGGCCTTCTGTCAGCAGAGGGATGGTTGACATGGTTATAAATCATGTCTGAAGACTTGCGATCCGGATTGACAGGTGGTAAGCGTGGGAAGTATCTGAAAGGTGAGCTGACAGGAATGAATGAATCTGGGCCCAGTGGGGCAGGAGTGCTTCCCACCTCCATTTCTCTTCTTCCGTTGATTTTTAGAACAGTAAATCGGAAGAAAAGAATGTTGGTGTGGGGAGCTCTCCTGATCTGCCCAAATTGCCTGGGCTCTCCCATCACCCCGCACCCTCCCAAGATCTTCGAAGCATCCCACCTGCCCCGGCTCAGATGGCGTTCATGAAGAACAAAATCCAGCCAGGCACGGTGGCTCACACCTGCAATCCCAGCACTTTGGGAGGCCGAGGAAGGAGGATCGCCGGAGTTCGGGAGTTGGAGACCAGCCTAACGGACACAGAGAAACGCCATCTCTACTAAGAATACAAAATTAGCTGGGCGTGGTGGCACATGCCTATAATCCCAGCTACTCAGGAGGCTGAGGCAGGAGAATCGTTTGAATATGGGAGGTGGAGGTTGCGGTGAGCCAAGATCACACCATTGCACTCCAGTCTGAGCAACGAGAGCAAAACTCTGTCCCAAAAAATAAATAGAGAATGAAACACAAGGGGATTTGAAAGGAAGGAAGGGCAGGGTGCTTTCATTCCACTCCGGCCTCCGAGTCTCCTCCCTTTGCCCGACCAGAGACCAATATAGAACAGGGAGGCGTCAGAGATAGAATTAGCTTTCTGAGCTCTACTCCTAGAATCCCAGCTGAAAGCGTAAATATTTTCTCTTCCTATTCTTAGGGAATACCCCTCCCTCACTGTTTCCCCTTCTCCTGTCCTCCCGTCAACCTGGATCACTCAAGTGCTTTCACCGTGGCTTTCCCTCACTGCTGCTTCCCAGCAGCTCCGCTCTAATCTCACAGCTGATAGATTGAGCTGCTTTCCCCAGTATGGCAGCTCTGTCCAGCTGATGCCTATTTCCCCTGAAGTTAGCTATACTCAGCCACTTCTTAGCTCTCAGAAGCCAGGAGTAAGTTTGGGGAAAAGCCCACCATTCAGACTGGCTTTAGGCCATATTCAGAGACCTCATATATGTACCGGTTATTCAACTAGTGTCTCTCAGCTTCAAACCTACCCTTCTTTATTGGGCCTTGTGAAGCTGGGGCAAGAACTTTGAAAACCACATTTCTGCTTTGCTAACTGGTACCCTGTTAGCTTCTGCCAATATAAGGTAACCAGGGAGACCGGAAGGCTGGAGGAGGAAGACAGGATGCCTTTTTCCTCTTCACCTCCTGTTCCTATTAACATTGCCCAGCCTTGCTTTGACACAGGGCAGAGGCAGTTCATTCCAGTAGCAGTAGTTGGCTTCAATTTGTAATTGCCTCTCCACTGTTCAACTTCTATTTTTTTTTTTTTCCGGTGGATTCTTGCACTGTCTCCCAGGCTGGAGTGCAGTGGCATGATCTTGGCTCCCTGTAACCTCCCACTCCCAGGTTCAAGCGATTCTCCTACCTCAGCCTCCCAAGTAGCTGGGATTACAGGCACACACCACCATGCCTAGCTAATTTTTGTATTTTTAGTAGAGACGGGGTTTCATCGTGTTGGCCAAGCTGGTCTCTAACTCCTGACCTCAGGTTATTATTGCCCACCTCGGCCTTCCAAAATGCTGGGATTACAGGCATGAGCCCCCATGCCCGACCTTTTTTTTTTTTTTTTTTTGAGACAGGGTCTCACTCCATCTCCCAGGCTGGAGTGCAATGGTCATGGCCACTGCAGCCTCAACCACCCTGACTCAAGTGACTCTCCTATCTCAGCCTCTCGAGTAACTGGGACCACGGGTGTGTGCCACCGTACTCGGCTAATATTTTTATTTTTTGGAGAGATGATGTCTCACTATGTTGCACAGGCTTGTCTTGAACCCTGGGACTCAAGCAGTTCTTCTGCCTCGGTCTCCCAAAGTGCTGGGGTTTCAGGTGTGAACCACCATGCTCAGCTTCAACTTCTATGTTGGATGCACCAGAGCCAGCGTCCAGTCCTTCTCTGTATAGACCTTCTCCCTGAATGATTTCAGCTCATTTACGGATTTATGTGCCATATATTCCCATGACTGTCGAATCTGTATCTCTAGTTCTGACTCTTCCCTATACTCTACATTTGAAGTGTTAGGAATTTGGGTCTATAGGCCTCTTCAACTTTTTTTTTTTTTTTTGAGACGGAGTTTCACTCTTGGTACCCAGGCTGGAGTGCAATGGCGCGATCTCAGCTCACCTCAACCTCCACCTCCTGGGTTCAGGCAATTCTCCTGCCTCAGCCTCCTCAGTAGCTGGGACTACAGGCACACGCCACCATGCCCAGCTAATTTTTTTGTATTTTTAGTAGAGGCGGGGTTTCACCATGTCGACCTGGATGGTCTCGATCTCTTGACCTCGTGATCCGCCCGCCTCGGCCTCCCAAAGTGCTGGGATTACAGGCTTGAGCCACTGCGCCCGGCCTTAGGCCTCTTCAATTTAACAAAGCCAAACATAACTCTATTTCTCCTCTTCCAAACAGGCATCTCTTTTAGTCTTCATTTTAAGAGACATGACCAACAACAACCAGCGGCTCAGGCCACGAAGCCCTGGGTCCCCCTAGCGTCCTTCTTTTGCTCTCACAATCCCCTGCTCCCATGCAGTCCGTCAGCAAAACCTAACTGACTTTCCACCATCTTCACTGCTTCACCCAGTCAAGCAACCCCTGGCTCAGAGTGAGTCGAGTAGAGAATCAGGAAAGCTCTTTATGTAAGGCTTCTAGAATATTCAGTTACAGAATCTCAGAGTGTGATGACTCCTGTTTCTAAATCAAAGGAAAGCTGGGATAACAAATCTGGTGGGGATGAAACCAGACTGTGCCGGGGAGGGGCTGGTGGGAGCCCTCAAAGAAGCAGGATGGAAGAGAACTAAAACCAGAAAGCTGTCCTTTTTGATGACTTCTCTGCCCCAGAGGGGCCACATGCTCCCCTATTATTGCCTGTACCTGCGTGGGACCATGTGTGGTGGCAATAACCCATAATTACCCGTAATGACTTCTCTGGGCTCAGCCCAGGTAGGAGCCCAGATATTTCAAGATAATGACTTTTCTTCCCTTTTTATTCTGTGTTAGGTCCCTGCATGGATTGAAAGGTGCTTATTAACACAAGTGCCCCTGATAATTAGGTTGGTCCTGGCTTCATTAAACATGGATGGGCTTCCTGCTTGTGGGTCCAGGCAAGAGAAGAAGGCCAAAAAACAGGACTCTCCTCCACATGGGTCTCTGGGGTGCAGATAGAGCAAGGAGGCACTTTCTTCTCATGTTACTGAGTTGAGCTGAGTAAAAAGGGAGACAAGAGGCAGGAGGCAAAGCAACTGGAAGAGGCCTTTTTCCATTTATCCCGCCTACAAGCTGAGCCTTGATATTCTTATCTGTTCATTGAGCTTAGAACCAGAGGCCTTTTTCCATTTATCCCGCCTACAAGCTGAGCCTTGATATTCTTATCTGTTCATTGAGCTTAGAACCAGAGGCCTTTTCCCATTTATCCTGCCTACAAGCTGAGCCTTGATATTCTTATCTGCTCATTGGGCTTAGAACCAGAGGCCTTTTCCCATTTATCCCGCCTACAAGCTGAGCCTTGATATTCTTATCTGTTCATTGGGCTTAGAACCAGAGACTATCAAAGCTACAAGGGACCTCAGATATGGATGTTCACGTTTTTTCCTAAAAAAAGAGGTGAGAAGCCTCTGCAGGTCCAGGGCAGGGATGGAACTTGCCCAAGATCACACGGCTCATCAGTGCCGAAATCATGCTCGAAACCCAGGTCCTCTGGCTACTCCAGGCATAGCGATCCTTGGTGTATCTCACAGGGATCAGAAGGTAGAAGAGAGGAAAGTGGTGTGAAAGTGAAGGACCCCACGCAGAGGGAGGCCTTCCTTGTCTGGGCTGTGCTGCTCATGAGGTCCTGGGCTCCACGCCCGGGACGGTCAGCCTCCGGAGTCTCCTTACCTGCCCTGCTTGCCTCACAGGGCCCTGGGGAGGAGGGGGCTTGTGAAAGGGCCTTGAGAGGCAACACCGGTCAAGCTGTTCTACCAGCCAGCTGTGTGCTCACTCCTGACTCTGTCTCCCCAAATCCCCATGTGTGCCCTTTCTCCCAGGAGCC